TTACAAGATAAAGTGAAGAAGACGCATGTCAGTGCTGGAGGTAAGGATGGAGGGCTGCTGTCCTGAGGAACATGGGTGGAATAAAACACATTATTCAAACGTGACTAAATGAGGATGAGGATTAGAACTACAAAGCTGTATCACTTAAATCCCCACATGCCATAAATACACTCTGGCTACAGAAGAGAGTATGCATTTTCTTAGGAAATCTACACAGAAGTGTCACTATATAAATGGCAGGACATATGCAACCTACTTACAGAAATTTCGGGGGGTTGGAGGAAGTCACGTGTGAGAAGGTGAGAACAGACTGGGTGCCATGACTACTTCTCTCTCTCTCTCTATCTGCTGTTCCTCTATCTCCTCATTGCTTTTTACTATGGAACAAGGAGACCAATGATGCAAAATAGCTGTGAGGCTTCCTATCACTAGTGTCATTTCAAACCCTCATTTTCCCCACATTTCTGCATACCAAATTTGGTCAAGTCACAAATTCCTGCTTTGTTCAAAATTTCAAGGGCTTTTAAGTGAAACTAGTGGTATGTGATAAAATACTAAAACAGAAAAGGGATTGCACATAAGCATTTAAGAACGCTGGAGATTTAAAATTGATACAGCTGCCGCATGTTGGTGATACGACGAGCAATGCGATACGGTGTCCAGGGATGTCTAGCGTATCTTCTGCTACAGCAAACACAAGTGCATCCAGCCAGGTAAGCAAACTCTGCTAGGTGCAGTCTGCACAAGACAACTCTCTTCAAAAGACTGAAGTGGGGTGAAGAAGAAGCTCCTAGATGGCTGCCAGGCCACCAGGCAGTAGCATGTTTAATGAGGGTTAGTCCCCCATCGCCATCAAGGAACATAAAGGAACATGGTTTACTACAAGTTACTGCACAGGTCAGAAACAAAACAAAAGCCAAAACAGCACGCACCATTGTAGTACCAATGAAGGTTCAGAATGCTGTCAAGGAGTGGTTAAGTGCTCAGACACAATGTCCCGAGGACGCAGGGAATACAGCCTCGTTGCTTAACCCTAAGGGGTCACAGTGAGGGGCACTACACTTTTCTTTTTCTAAAACATCATGAATGTTTTTATCATTTTCAGAAGCCAAACATTTTGTACCCCACGAACTAATGTTTTAATGTTCTCTGATGAAATACAATCTCAGCAAAAACAAGTCCTTGTTGCTCAAGTACTTGGGTTCTTTTTTCTTCTTTTTGTTTTGTTTTGTTTTAGACAGTGTTTCTCTCTGTGTAGCCTTGGCTGTCCTGGACTCACTTCGTAGACCAGGTTGGCCTTGAACTCACAGAGAGCCACCTGCCTCTGACTCCAAGGGTGATGGAATTACAGGCGTGTACCACTGCAGCAACTTGGGTTCTTCTAAGTTCCATGTCTTCATATTTTTAAATTAACAAAATCAACCTTTTTTTTTTTTTTTTTGAAGATAAAAATCAATCCTAAAATGAAAATTCCAGCTACGGAGTGAGAGTAACAGCACTTAAAAATGGTAAGAAATGCAAACGTGTTCCCAGGTTTAGGAAGAACTAAGGCAGTACAGAGTACAGTCTAAACCAGTGGTTCTCAACTCAGGGGTCATGACCCCCAAACACCCTTTCACCAAAGGAAAACATGAATATTTACATTACAATTCATAATGGTAGCAAAATTACAGTTATGAAGTAGCAATGAAAACAATTTTAAAGTTGGGGGTCACCACAACATGAGGAACTGTAGGAAAGGGTCGCAGCACTAGGAAGGTGGAGGACCCTGTTCTAGGAAATGTGACTGTGGAGGGGCAATAAGAAACAGTTGAACTTTGAACTGCTGACTACCTGCTATCTAGTTATGAGCACGGCAGATGAATATTACGGATTACAGTGTAAATATCTGAGAACCCCGAGCACCAAACATCAGACTGCTGACGCAACATGAAGAATTTGTTCTCTCAGTCAAAAGAATCTAGCGAAACAGAAAAAAAAAAAAATCTTAATACTAAAATTGGAGACTATCTTCTCTGAAATCTAAATTACAGATTACAGATAGAAATCCTGTCCAGGGGCAAACCGACTCCAGATATGAAGCACAGGAGGAAATATCTCAGTCAAGAACCTCAAGTGAGTAGTTTCCTAACTCTGACACAGTCTGTCAACATTTCCTGCACGTAGCTGGGTTCCAGTGTGTGCCTCCCACAAGCACGATACGGCAGGTGTTGCTTTGATTCACCCTATTGACGTGATGTTTAGCCAGGCTTGTCTTAAAATGCATTGCCTACACCCTCGGCTACTCAGGAAGATGGAAAGGTCGAGGCCTGCCTGGGCTACAGTGAGTTCCAAGTAGCACTTGGGGAGCCCCTGTCTTAAAAGGAAAAAGGAAAAGGAGAGCTAGGAGTGGAGGCCAGTGGTAATGCTCTTACCTAGTCTGTCTACGGTCTTAGAATCAATCCTCTAAACCGCTGGAGAGAGAGGAGAGAGAATTACCTTACCAGCCTAAACCTGAATCACTTTATCAGCAAAACAAACTGTCTCTAACGGTTGTTCCAGGTCAGATATCTGTAAGAGTCCCAAGTCCATCCTACTCTCCACATGTCCACCGCACCCATCTACTGTGAGTAGTGGGTTGGATTACGTACAGTCTCTGCCCTGGAGTAGACCCTGTGCTGTCCCATAAATCGCGAATTCACAAAATACATGGCAAATGCCAGGGAACGGTCTATAAAAAACGAACAAGGAAAGAATGCATATTTTATATGTGTACTGTTCCATGAAACAGCGGGGCGTGTAGCCTACCCAGGAGGCAAGGTTCTGCACAGCCGAACCACGCCTCCCAGCGCAATCAAAGACTCACAGAACCCTCCTCAAGGGACAGGGAGTGATCCTGGATGAGCCAAGGCAAGTTTAAAAACATATAGCACTTTGTTTTTTTTCTTCCCCTCCAGCGATGCAGCTGCACCGAGCAGAAAAAGCACAGGATTAGCACCGTATGCAATTGGGGCCCTTTTGCAATTACTATTCCCGGTAATAAACAGATCTGGAGGCTCCAGGAAGAATTTACTTCCCGGTCCAGGAAAGAAAACCAAGTTCCTTATTTTTACTAACAACGCCTTCTCCAATCAACACTCGCCTTCCCTGGGGCGAAAAGGCACGCCTCTCCTCGCCACCAGAAGCCCGTGGCTGTTCCTGGGGGCGCCAGGCTTCCTACCCCCGGGGACAGGGGGCGAGGGGGGCCCTCAGGACGGCAGGAGCCGGGAACTCGAGGCTGGGGATACCGGGGGTAGAGAACAGTGGAGGCTGGGAACGGACGGGTAGGGAACAGAAGAGCCGCGGACAGCTGTGACCGAGATGGGAGGCCGGGGACCGCCAGAGTGGGGACAGCTGAGACAGTGATCTGGAGGCCTGGAACTGCCGGGGTGGGGACGGCGGAGGCCAGTGACTGTCGGGGTGGCGACGGCTAAGCCCAGAGGACCACCGAGGCTGGGGACGGCGGAGGCCGAGGACTGCTGGAGCGGGGCACCGCGGGCGGAGGCCGGGGACTGCCCGGACAGAGCACTCACCCACTTTGTCCTTGCCGTACATGTGGCCAGCCACCTGATGCGACAGCGGCACGCAGCCTCCGAGCAGGCGCGGCACCGGCGGGCTGTCCCCGGTGCTTCCCGGCGGCCGCAGGCGCAGCGCTGGGGACTCGGCGGCCATCGGGGCGGCGACGCTCGGCGTCAGGCGTCAGGGAGGACCGGACGGCACCGCCCGCGCAAGCCCGGCGCGCGGACCCATGCCGAGACCGCGCTGCCCGCTCCGCGGCCCGCACTCCGAACCCCGGCCGCCCGCGCCCGGGATAAGGGCGCCGCGGCCCCGCCTCTGCCCGCCCCTTGCGAGCTCCGGCCGGTACAGCACCACTCTGAGCATGCGCAAAAGCTCCTCGACGGGATCCGGCGCCGCCGTGCTGAGCATGCCCAGAGGCGACCCGACTGGATCCGGGCCAGCGCCGCGCGGAGCATGCGCAGAAGCCACCCGCCGAGACCCGGTTCACCCGTCCGGGGAGCAGGACCAGGAGGTTGACCAGCGCCCAGGCTCGGAGTCTGAGTCCGCGGCTGACCTGCACTGAGCATGCTCAGGGGCTGCAGGAGGGGGTCTCTGGTCCCACCTGCCCACGGCTTGCTTCCTCACCGCCACCCCAGGACTTCCAGGGTGCGAACAGGCGTCCGGGCTCCTAACCTAAGGCTCGCCAGGTCTAGACGACCCGCAGCGGGGCAGCCCTGTCGCCACGTCCTGCCCCCTTGAATGAAGACGTTTCTGACACAGTCATCCCAATTCATTTAAAAAAAAGAAAAAAAAAAAACGGTTGTTGATTTTATGCGTATGCCCGTGCTCAGGGGGTAGCGTTCCTCGGAACTGGGGTAACAAACTTCGGTCCTAGGCAAGATGGGTGTGCTCATAATCTTTACTCCTCGGCCACCTTCTAAAACGCGTTTTTGTTCCCCCAAGCGGACCCCTCCCCTGAAGGGATGCAAGTTTATTTAATCACGGCGACGCTGGGAGCCCAAGGCAGAGCGCTGTGCGCGCTGGGCAAGCACGATGCCGCGGTGCAAGCCCGGCCCCGCTGAGCCGCCAGCTGAAGCAAGTGTCCGTTGTTGGCTTCCTCGGACCCCGGGTGGATGAGTGGCAAGGCCAGAGGCAGGAGGGAGGGAGGCCTGGCGTGGCTCGGGAAGGTTCTAGACGCGGTTCCATCCGTGCGCCCGCGCTGGCATCCCCGCGGCAGCGTCGGGCTTGGCGGGACCCGCGGCTGGGCGGGTCCCACCTGCGTTACCTATCACCGAAGCCGTCGGTTCGTCGCCCGCCGTACGGCGACGGTCCCGCGGGTGCTCGTCCTGAGTCACCTGGACCGCCTGTAAAGCCCGGACCGCAAAGCCCCCCCCCCCCGCCTCCGGGCGGCGCGCACGCAGCCCGGCGCCCGCGGTGCTCAGGTCCTCACCGGCCCGCTGGGTCGGGCCCGCCGCGCATGCGCGACTCTACCGGCGCGCCGGCACACGCGCTCCCAGTTTGCCGCGGCGCCTGCGCAGTGGCAGGGAGTGGGCCCGGAGGTCGCGTCTTGCCCGGGTCTCCGCCGTCCCCAGCGCTCGCCCGCGCGGTCCTGCCACGGCCTTCCCGCTGCCCGCGCCATGGGCCTCAGCTCCGACTGCGGTGTGCGAGGTGAGCCGCCCGCGGCCGGTCCCCGCCACCCTTATCCGACCTGTCACCTTGACCAGCGCAAGGGCGGGCGCAGGCCTGCTGGGCGCTCGCAGCGTGAGGGATTCGGGATGCTGGTGCAGGCCGGCCCTCCCGGCCCTGGACCGCTCCCCCAGCCAGGCTAGCGGGGTCACACTTTACCCCAGACACCCTGTCCCTTAGCCCCTCCCAGCGCACCTAGTGGCGTGGGGAAACTGGCAGCTAACCGCGACCCCGACGTCCTGGACTGGTCACTTCGTAGATGTTTTGCTGGCTTTCTAATTCTAGGTGAAGAGACCCAACACGAGGTCTTGGGTTTCCAAGTTTCTTATGTACTCTGCATCCGGCCACCCGTGGGATCCGAGAAACAAGTGAAAACAGTCCTTTTCCCTAGTCTTGGAAACAGTGTTTTGCAGAAATCGGACAAAAATTTAGAGAAATTGTGAGACTTGGCTATTGTAAAGTCTTTGGTGATAACCTGTTAAAATGGCCCACAAGCTACGTGATATACGTGACAGACTGCCCAGATATAAAATGCCACACCCCGGGGTTTGATTTTCTTTAACCTTGGTTGAGTAAAGGTTAAAAAAAAAAAAAAAAAAAAATTACACTGAGCCCCATAGCGCTCAGTTCCGGAACCATCTCTAACTTGAACCTTAATTTTGTAGTAGTTAGGATGCTACATTCTGGAAAGTTCTATTTAATGTCGACGGGAGACTTGGCAGGTAGGAGGGAGAAAAACTTTATTTATTTTTTGCATTTATTTGTATGAGTGTCTCTGGGGGTTTGTGTCTGGTGCCACGACTCACTCGGATGTGAGAGGACAACTTGTAGAAATTGATTCTCTCCTACCAGGTGAGTCCAGCTCGGGTTATCAGGCATGACAGCAGGCACTTTTCCCTGTTGAGCCGTTATGCTAATGCCAACAAATAGTGTTAAGTTACTAAAGACAAAAAAAAAAAGATAATTATTTGAAAATTTTATTTTAAAGGGTAGCCATCTTGAGACTCCCTTAAATGTATGCACCTTGGTGAGTTTAAGTTTTCTTTGTGTTTATTTTAATCTGTTTCTGTTTTTGTTTTTGTTTTTTGAGACATAGCCTTTCTTTATAGCCGAAGCTAGCCCTGAAAATCCTCCCAGCAGTGCTGAGACGATAGGCCTGTGCCACCACAACTGGAAAAGCAGTGTTCTTGGCAATAACATAGACACGTGACTTGTGGTGCTTTAGTTTTAATTCCCTAAGAACACCGTTGCACACGCATGAGGCGGGCCAAAAGATTGCAAAACATGTTTTTTTTTTTTTTTTTTTTTTTGTTTTAAATATGAAATCACATTTTGTAAGCAGATACTAGACCCTGATTTAGATGATATGCTGTTGAAGAGGAAGGAGGTGAACCCCAAGGAGTGGTCAATATTTGCAGGTTAGTCTTTCCTGCAGTCAAAAAATACGGGTTTAGCTTGGTTTAATTTGTGGGTACAAGGAGCTCAATGGTAACTCTGCTTTAGCTTACCATTATCTTAAAAAATATGAACCTCTTGGTGAAACCCTCAGTTAGCTTCACCTTTGTTGTGTTTGGCAACTCTTCTTAATAGGAAAACCACAGGTCATTATGAAGACCATAGAGAGAGCCCAAATGGCTTGGCAAGTCTCCTCAACTAATCTTTTTCACCTCAAAACTTGGAATATAGACTGCCTTGGAAAAATACCTCCCACCTTTTTTTTAAATACTTATTTACTTTTATGTGTATGGGTGTTTTGCTTGCCTGGGTGTTTGTGTGCCGTGTTCATGAGGCGCCCACAGAGGCCAGAAGAGGGTGTCAGACAGAGTCCCTGGAACTGATATTACAGAAGTAAGGATGATGGGGATGGAACCCTGATACCCTGGAAAAGCAGCCCATGCTCTTAACTGCTGAGCCATCTCCCCAGCCTTGCAATATACCTTTTAAATGTTTGCTTCTTGTATCTTATAAAATTGTTGTAGTTGGCTTATTTATCTTTTCTCATGTAGCTCAGGCTAACTTCAAGGTTGCTATATAGCAGAAAGTCCCTCCGAACACTGGATCCTCCTCCCTCTATAAGTTTTGGCTGCTGGGATTATAGGTATGCAATTTCATACCCGTTTTACTTGGGGCTAGGGATTGCACTCACTTTGTGCAAACAAGGCAAGCAGTGTGACAATTGTGCCACAGCTAAGACCCCCCCAGAGTTAAATTTCTATTGAAAAATAAAATAGTGTCTTACAGCCAGGTGTGGTTGCAAACACCTCCTATCCCAGCCCTCTGGAGGCTGAGGCCAGAGAATCAAGAGTTGGTGGCCAGCTTGGGCTATGTAACCTGACTGTATCTCAAGGGGGAAAAAAAATTAAAGGGGAAAGAATGTCTATGTTTGTAGAATTCTATATATTGGGGAGGAGGAAGAACTTGGGGTGTAAAGGGAAGGTGGTTAGTTCGAATAAGTGAGTATCAGACCAGGGCTGAAACTAGAGAGGCAATGGTCTAGAGTGATGGAACTTGAGGCCCTCCCCACGGTAAGCATGGGATGGTTTGGGCACCTACCAGTGAGCTCATTATGGTTTCTGGAAAGTGGCCTACGCTGCCCACATAAGCAGTCTCATGATTCTTCCTTTTGCCCAGATGGCCTTTCTGAATACCTCTGCACCTCCCAGAGCCAGCTGTCATCCCTCACCCTTCCATTTCCACAAGGCTAACTGAAGCCATTCTCCCTGGCTGGCTCTGTAGACAACCTTGTTGTGTGCTTCCTGGAACTCTTGCCAGTGCTCGTTTTCTTATTGGTTTTGTTCGTTTATTTATTTGAAATGTAACCGTGGCTGGCCTGGCACTCCTTATGTAGAATAGGCTGGCCTCAAACTCACAGAGACCTACCGACTCTGCTTCCCAGTGCTGGGTTAAAGACATGAGCTACCAAACTGAATACTTGTTTTTAAAATAAGCTCCTCATAATGTTTTTTCTCTATCCAGCCGAAAGGCAATCACAATTTACCTTTACCTCTAAAACCAAGAAGCCAGATAAACCAAATATTTTCATGTGTGTGTGTGTGTGTGTATATGAGTGTGCATGCTCACACCAAAAGAGGTCATCCTCGTGTCATTCCTCAGGTACCATTCACCTTTGCTAGACTAAACTAGGATAGACTGCCTAGCCTAATCAAGCCCAGAAGATCCACCTACCGTCTCACCACACACACACACAAACTCCAGTGTAAATTACTGCACTCAGCTTTTTTTCATGGGTGCTGCCCACTGAACATGGTTCCTCGTGTTTCTGTGGCAAGCACTTTACCAACTGAGATACCTCTTCAGCCCTCCAAACCATTTTTTTCATGTGTTATGTGTATGTGTGGGCATGTTTACCTTCACATGTGTGTGGTCCGCATGTCTACAGGTGTGAGTGCATGTGAAGGCATGCAGTTGATCCCACTTGAAACTCTCCACTGTGTTTATTGAGACAGGTGCCCGTTTATCCATAGCGCATTGGTTCTGGCTAGCGAGGTTGCTCTGGGGATCTCTGTCTCTACTCCCCACGTGCTGGGGTTACGCAGCCACCATGCCTACCCAGCTTTATGGGCTCTGGCAATCCAGACTCCAGTTGGAGTGTTGCTCATCAAGTGTCCACACCTGCATGCGTGTGCCCACGATGTGGAGGGAGACAAACAAACTGCTAGGTAGAGTAGAGGTCCCAGGGCAGCTTTGTGGAGTCCGCTCTTCAGTCTTGTGGGTTACTAGAACTGACTGAATTCAGGTTCTGGCTTTCCTGGCAAGTGCCGCTATTCACTGAGCCATTCCACCAGCCTCTTACATCGAAATTCATGTTTAATAAATTACTCGCTGTGTATTGAGTTTGGGGATTGTGGGTCACAACACTTGCATGGAGGTCAGAGGGCAACTTGTGGGTGTTATTCTCTCCTGGCACGATGTGGGTCAGTGATCAAACTCGGGTAGGCAAACCTGGTATCCGCTGAGCCATCTTGCCCTAAGCCTTGTTTCTTAATGGGTACCTTGCCTAGCCTTCTCTCGTAGCATTTTCTCACCACCTGGTCTTGTCCATAGGTTGTAAAGAGGATTTATGCGTTTGTTTGTGCTTTGTTGTGCACCACAAATCCTGGTCGTTGCAGGCACAGGCACATCACCAATGCTGGCCAACCTGTTCATACTTTTTTTTTTTTTTTTAACAACCTTGTTTTCTTCAGACTCCTTTATGTTTTTCCAGATTATTGTATCATAATATATTCTAAGGTTTTTTTAATCTTGGAAAGTTATTTAAAGGATTTTTTTTTTTTTTCTGAGAAAGAATGTACATGTCCCACCAAGAAACTAGTAAGTAGATGAGTCCTGGGATTTGGGGCTGTCGCTGAAATAAGAGCGGCCGTCTGTGGTGCATGTTTTCTGGAATGAGGAAAAGTAACCCAGTGCATCCCTGTGGGTGCCTGAGGTGCTCCATGCTGATGTTAGTTTGTTTCCTGAGTCTGTGGGAATAAATCTTATAGAGGTCCAGAAAAAGCCACTTGGTATGGGAGCGGTGGGTCTGTAAAAGGGACAGGTGAAAATGAAGCAGAATTGATCACCCATCACCACATATGCTCGCATAACATTGACTGCCACTCGTGCCAAGCCTTGACAAAAACAAAACAACAAAACACACAGCACAGGCCAGAAAGGCTTGCTTTCACCACATTGCCCCTCCCCCTCTCCTGACTCAAGCACATTCCAGTTCTGTGGCAGTTGGTGGTAGTGGGTAGGTGAAGGTCCTTTGGGCAGAAACTAGTCTAAAGGAAAAGAAGGGTGAGGTTTCTAAGTCAAAACAAAGTAACCCTCACTGTAAAACAGACCTGAGAGGTCAGTTATAAAGAGGGCTGTGTGCTTAGGAGCATGTCCAAGAGAAACCAGAAGCTATAAAGCAGTCCTGAGGCAGCGTGAGGAGGCAGAGTGCGTGGTTGCCCAGTCGCCTGGCTCTTAATCTTCCTTTAATGGTGTTTATGTAAAAGAAAACAGGTTTGGTGGATCTACATGAATAACCGGCCCTTGAGAGCTGTGTATACCAAAGGAGAGAGGCTAGCCCTGGAGGAGGCAAGAACATGCCCACGGTTCTGGAGTTCCCCATCTGAACAGAGTTGCAGTCTGGCCCACAGTCTGAAAGATGCCAATAGAGAAGTTAATAATCCAGCCTGTGTTGCCTCTGAAGTTGTGAGTTCAAGGCTAACCCTGCTGTGCTGAGTATCCCCAACCTTGAGGCCAGACCCCAGCAGGAAGCTTCTGATGGTAGATGCAGCACTCCAAGCTAACCGTGGGTGTTAACAATCCTAAGAGACAGGGACTGGACCCCAGCGAGCACTGGATATTCTCAGGCTGTGTCATTTGCCTACTCTGGTTCTCTCTCCTTCTGGCTGGCTTTTATCTATCTCTGTTCTTCCCTTTTCCTTCTCCATCCTGGAATCGCCATGGGTGTTTGCCACTTTTTGCCTAAAAACAAAAAACAACAACAACAACAACAAAAACTGATTGAAGTCTCAGTAATGGAGTGATAAAATAGAAACAATTTCCCTCCATCTGGAAACTAGCAATTTGTTTCTGATGAGATTAGAAAATTAGAATTTGGGAAGAGGGAAGAAGAGAATTTTTCCTCCTAAGGCCTTCTATAGCTCCCTGAGTCTAGAGCACGCACTTCGAACTAATCCAATGCTGTTTTTCTAGCAGACCTGCAGTGCCCTGGGTTGTCAGGGTGGTCAGTGCCCTTGCCCGACCTTTGGTCACAGAGTCTGTGTGTTGATTCCCATGGGACTGACACCTTAAAATATCTAGGGCATGCATCTGCTGTGTTGTCTGTGGTATGGCTGCTTTTCTTTGTCAGTTCCTCTATCACTCCTTCCCTGGTCAAAACAATCTGGAGAAGGTAAAAACTTATTTGGGATTGTTTTTTAGTGTCATCCTATATGCTAATATACCAAGAGAATGATTTTAATACCTTGAAGCAAATTAATGCCAGTCACTTGTTCTATGAATCTTAGGACATTTGAAGTTTGTAAAGATCATTAAAGTAAAGAGTAAAGGCTTTTTCAGGAGGTGAAGCCTGGGCTTCATTGCAGCAAATGGGCATCAGGGGTGGAGTAGTTAATAATTTACCTGCAAAATTAAGTTCCTGAAAAAAAAAAAAAGCTAAAAAATTAAAATCGCAACATTCAAGGAGTTGAGTTATATTAATTTAGAAGAGGAGTCATAGCTGCCTTTTGAATTTATGTTACAGTATCAGCGGGCACTATGAAATTGAGGTTTTCATCTTTTGAGACAGGGTAAAATGTCTAAGGTTGACTTCAAACTCTTCCGTTCTGAATTGAGAGCGACTTCCCATTGAACCATAGATTCTTGCAGCTGCTTCCTGAATTATGCATTGAAAAGAAAGGCTGGGAGTCGGGCAGAACACAGTAAATTATAGCTGAGCTTGAACACTGACATTCAACAGAAATGTAAAGAAAATACATAGTTTGAAACCACGCTGACAGGGCTGGGGATACAGTATAGAGGCAGAGCATTTGTCTAACATGCTCGAAGCCTTGGTGTACAAAGAGAGAAATTCCTGAGGAGGTGAAAGGGTTGAAGCTGTCAAGTGACCACTGCTTGGTCATAAGGTACCCGGGAATAACAAAATACTAGTTAATGTTTGCTTTAGGTGTCATAGCAAGAAGAAATGGGAATGACCTGAGATGGAAAACGCTGTAAATCTCTTTGCAGAGAAAAATGCTGCTGTGTTGAAAGTAGTGTCTATGGGCCATAGGGTTTGCCCATTAGCAACATTGGATGGGAGCTATAGAATAAATAAGAGACTGAGATGAAAGGGATTAGTGTGGGCTCAAAGGCTTTTTCTGTTGGAGCCCGTTAGGACTGAGCTCCAACTTTGGTTTGTGTAGGCACCATTAGATCCATCCAACCTGTGAGGGCTTTGACTCAGGACACTGTGGAAGCATCCTGGTCCCCTATACCCTTGGGCTTGTGGTTGGCGATAAAACGTGTTTTGTACTTATCTCCCCAGGCTTTATGTGATAGTCTGGGACTGGGAACTCATTTCAGATACTGAAGAGCGGATTAAGGAAGTGCTAGGAAGCAGTCCAGTGTGTTTATCCTGACCCTGTTCAACATCTTCCTGCAGCCCCTTCATGCTGGGACTAGACAACTCTCCTCCAAGGCTGAGGCCAACCAGATAACGCAGACCTTGGCTTCTGCCATCACTGCCTGAGCACCTGGGTTTCTAAGGAGTCTTTGGATGCAGAAGGAATAAATACATGGCCTGTTAGTCCAACACTTTTTTTTATTATTATTAGAAAGTAGGATAATGTTTTACTTAAAATGAAGTTTTAGGAAACTCAGAAAGAAATTAGAAATGTGTGGCTTATTGAATGTTGCGTATGAGACTATTGTAGTTGGCTTTGTGTTTTAGTGAAAAAGCAATTTGCAAATTCCCGTGACCTTTGAATGACTTCAGACCTAGGACCAGGCCTGCTAGGCAGATCGGGGATGCTCGCAGATGGGGAGGTTAAAGATCTGTCTTTGTCTTGTTAAATTTTGTTTGTGTAGAGCTGCGTTGGGTTTTGGTAAAATAAAGCATTTCAAAGCCACTAAAGGATTTTTTCTTTAAATGAACTCATTTTACTCATGGCATCCCCTCCTGATCTTTCTGTTTTGTTTTTAACTTGAATCTTATCTTTAAGATTTTGTTCTTGTCTTTAAGCAGTAGGTCCTTGCAGGTACACATGCGGCTGAAAATGTTGATGAACACTTACAAGATTATCAAGCCTTTGGTTTCCCTTTTCTGTCTTAGAGAAGGGAAAAATAACCTTTGCTTTTACATTAATTTAGCTGTCCACTCGGTAGTAAAAACACATCTGCATTGATGAGGGCTATGGAAAGCTTTGAGAAAACTGCTGTACCACTGTATTTTGGGTCATTTATTAACACTGAAATTTTTTCTCAGACTGGCAAGGTGGCTTAGCAGGTAAAGGTACTTGCCACCAAGCCTGAAAACTTGAGTTAGACTCCCAGGATTCATGTGATGGAGAGAATCAATTCCCAGAAGTTGCTGTCTGACCTCAACATGTGTGCTGTGAGCACATGCAACCTACACATAAATACGACCTGAGTGTGATTTTACACATTATGCTTGTCAGGTTTCATGAGCATTTCTGTCTCTAACTCTCCCTCCCTTGCCTGTTGCAGTTGAGTGGATTGCTGCCATCACATTTGCTGCTGGCACGGCTGCTCTTGGTTACCTGGCTTACAAAAAGTTCTACGTTAAAGATAATCGCACCAAAGCTATGGTGAACCTTCACATCCAGAAAGACAACCCAAAGGTGGTGCATGCCTTCGACATGGAGGATCTGGGAGATAAGGCCGTATACTGCCGCTGCTGGAGGTCCAAAAAGGTAAGAGCTTCACCAGTGTGACATGAGAACCCTCTTTCTTCTTGCTTCTCAGGAATCTTTTCCTCCCCGGTTTTCACATACTGCTTGTTTGAGACCACGGTCTTGCCAGGTAGCTCAGACTGGCCTCAGACTCAACGTCCTGCTGCCTTTGCTGAGAAAGCTGACTTATACCACCACACACAGCTTTCCATACCCTTGTGTCTTGTCTTGTCTAAAATGCGCATCTGCCACGCAGTGACACTGCCATCTTCTTGCTCTTTGATGCTTGGGATTGCTTCCCCAAGGGGATCTTAGCAGGAGAGTCTGAGGCCTGAATACAGTGAGAAACAGACTGAGCAAAGTCTGTGTTTGAGATAGCATCTTGCTGTACAGCCTGTGAGCCTACAGAGATTCCCTGGCCTTGTACTGGTGTCGGTCTCCCTATTGGCTCCTGAATGTGAATTATAGGTGTGCAGCACCTCACCTGGCTTAGATTTCTGACTGGCAAGTACCCTAAGCCACCTTTTAGCTGCAGTTTCTGTAACTAAACACCTGGCAGTATCGAATCTGTCACAATCCACTTAATGTAGTGAGAATTGTATTCTATCAGATGGAAGTGTCACCTATGACACCTGCAGGCTCTACACATGGAGAATGGGAACCTCTTTCTGAGCATCTTGACAGGGTGATGCGCTGGATGACTTCAGAATCTCGGGTGTCCTGAGTGACCCGGTGCTCACACTGAATGTGCTGCTGCTCACGTTTGTGGAAAATGGATTTCCAAGCTTAAAGGCCATGACATGCTGAGCTGGGAGTATAGGCAGTGATGGGAACTTGCCAGAAGCTATGAGTTTGGTCCTTGGGTCCTAAAAAAGAAGAAGAAGAAAGAAAGAAAACCCACAAAATTTAAAATACCATTTTCTGAAATTGTAGTACATTGGAGAATGTACAGTAGAGAATGCGGTCATGAATCATGTGCCATAAACATGAAAGAGGCTTTATAATATAATACCTAGTAGAAAGTGGGCGAGTATTATTTTTTACATAATATTTATATGTGTGGGTGTGGGTGTTGTGTTCACATGAGTGCAGGTACCTGCAAAGGCATCAACTTACCCTGGAGCCTGAGTTACATGTAGTTAGAAGGAGCCCAACATGAGTGCTGGGAGCTGGGATTCAAGCTCTGGCCTTCTACAGGAGCGCTTGTGCATATACACTTAACTGCCGAGCCCTTTTCCAGCCATGTTTGTGGGGCCAGGGGAGTTAGGCATCTCAGTTTTTCAGTTAGCATGCTAAGAAATGGGCTTCACGGTGCCATCTTCATGAATATATGCCATCACGTTTTTTGCCACTCCCCACCGTCCTCCCTGCCCTCCATCACTTTGTACTGCTCCCACCTCTAACCCCTAAGAGTTCTCCTTTCAGCTTTCATGTCATGTGTATCCTAGAACCTTCTCCTGTCCCACTTCTAACTCCCTTCATCCCCCATCATAGTCCCTAGGAAGTGCATTTCAGTAAGCACTTCTCATAGCTTGGTGCTGTGTGGTCCAGTAAAACAATTTAGGAGATGCTACTGTGCCCCACAATGGCCTAATGTGGATATAGAATTGGAAATGTAGGTACTCCTGGAACTATGAGGACACAATCTCTCAGTGCTCCAAAGACTTGGATTGTTTTAAGTAGGCTCCATTCTTGCTGCTCACTAAACCATAGGAAATAAAAACGGAGTTTCCCCCAGTCTCAAGAACTCTTTAGTCAGTGATGTTAAGTATAAATTATTAACTGCTCACGTGCAAACTTTGATGTCCCTGATAAGCCCAGTATGTGTAGTCTATACTGGGAGTGCTTCTGCCTTGGGCTAAAAGTTTTCTGAGAGTTAGAGTACCTCTGGGAAATGGGAGACATAAGTGTATATCCAAGTACTAGGAATGCTTTCTCAAAATGTGCACGTTTGCAGTCATAAGGAAAGGGGATGGATGAAGACTCCGGCATTCCAGAGATGAGTCCATGAGCAGAACCCGTGTGAAAGGTTGGCCTCGTGGTTTGGGCTATGGGTCTTTCAGACATTATGACACAGTAGGATGCTGGCTGTGGAAATGTAGAGAAATGAACAGGATCAGTGGAAAGCAGTGACATTTTAAAGACTTGTTTTTATTAGTTTTAGGTGTGTGTGTGTGTGTGTGTGTGTGCGCGCGCGTGCGCACGCACCCCTAGAGCTAGAGTTATACACAGTTGTGAGCCACCTGACATGGGTACTGGGAACCCAGTTCAGGTCCTCAAAGGAACAGAACCTTCTGAACAGCTGACCTCTCCCCAGCCCGGGTAATGACTAGTCAGGGAGACGGGGGAGGAAACTATAGAATCTAAGTGTGTGGTTTAAAGGGGCCAAGCATTTACCAGAAACAAGGAATTCTGGTTGAAAAGTTGATGTTTCACAACACTGCTAAAGAGCTTAGTTGCAAGGTTGGGTTTGAGGTGACGGTTGAATGGAAATGTGCATCAGCAGTGGCCGTGAGGTAGGACACGGTGGCAGCAGAAGCCAGCAGAACTGGTGAGTCAGGCTGGACTCGATAAGAATCAGAGATGAAATCTCAAAGAATATTCTGCCCTTGGACAGCACAGAGTCAGGAGCTGGGACAGGCCCTGGGGAGAAGTAAAGATAAAGGGTCAGAGCGGGAAGGAGAGTTATCTAGGCTTTGGTGCAAAACTGGCCTGTCCACACTGCCAGGTGAGTGGGTGGTGATGGAGAGGCTCTAGAGTAAGCAATTAGCAGCTGACCTTTTGCTGCCATTTCAACAGAATAATTAAAACTGTGTCCAAGTTGGTGGAAGCCTGTGTTACCGAAAAACAAAAGCTCCAAGTATAAACTTCTATCATCTATGCAAGTAGACAGGGAAATGGGGCTTGCAGAGACGAGGGAGGAAACTTCCTTGGATTGACTTGTCCCATAAAGTAAATATGGACTTTGTTAGAGTTAAGATCTCAGCATCTCAGAAGAATCAAGAAGAGACACAGGCTAGTGCCCTAATTGCCCATAAACTGTATGAGCAGTCCAACAGCCTGCCCCAGGGACAGGCCTCTGCTTCAGCTAAGACCCAGAGCTTAAGTTCATTCCCATTCCCAGCACTGTATGGCAGCTCATAACTGTCTGTGGTTCCGGGGCCAGGGATCTGATGCCCTCTCTTGATTTTCGTGGGTACTGCACATACATGGTGCACTGACATACATGGGGACAATATGGCCATACACATAAAATAAAGATAATCTTTAAAGAAACCTGTCGTGACTCAGGGGGTCCCTAATCTGTTTCGTAAGCACAGCAAAAGCAAGCTTGTATCCCGCAGAAGTCACTCTGGAAAACACTGGCAGAGATTAGCATGTCCCTCTCTCCCACCAGACACAAATATGTCACTTGTACCTAGGATGTGGAATTTGTAAACATAAATGAACATTGGAAATTTATAGTCATATTTCCAGAAGAAAATGCCTCCACGAACCATTCAAAATGAACCACATTAAAGGGGAAACCACTGGGGGGGGGGAGGGGAGGTTGGGTAAGCAAATTGTTTTTTCTTGTTTTCGAGACAAGATCTCACGCAGCCTAGGCTGGTCTTGAATTCTGGATCTTCCTGCCTCTGCCTCTGAAGTGTTGGCATCATAGGTGTGCGCTACCACCCCGCCGCCTGTAAACTGATTTTAATGGAATAAGCTTGAGGTCTTGCAAATAGAGCCAGGAACATAATTGGGGATAGAATGCCTGTCTAGAATGCACAAAACCCAGGATCCTGCCCTCCACACACCTCCATTTGTTTGTTTATAAATAGGCAACAGCCATAGGCCACTAAGACCATAGCCAGTTGAGTAGTCGGCCCAAAGCCTTAGCATCACCAGACGGCAGGGAAACTTGATATTATCTTCCTACCCAGTGAGGTACATATGCTAGCCAAGAACAATAAACGTCACGGTGTGTGGGAATCAGGCATCCGTACCCCTTGGCCAAGCACAGACTGACGTGGGCATTAGACATTTCACAGTCTCTCTCTCTCTCTCTTGCCAGTTCCCATTCTGTGATGGGGCTCACATAAAACACAATGAAGAGACTGGAGACAACGTGGGACCTCTGATCATCAAGAAAAAAGAAACTTAAATGGACAGTTGCAAGGCTGCACCCCAACGTGTTGTGATGTCACCTGATCATTTAATTAGAATGGCACCCAGTCTGTCTGATTGGCCTCTCGGGTTCTAGATGTGGTTGGTACCTTGCAAATCGAAGCTTTCATATTCATGGCATCAACCTTGCTGTTGAAACACCGTGGTACACATTTGTTGAAAGAAGAAGAAAAGGCTAAACCAACCTCATGGTGTATGGGTTATTTTGGTCTTGTAAGGATCCGTTCCTTTAAAATAATGGTCTTAGAATATAGTTGTATCTGAGGTTAACGTATTAAATTATTCTCAAAATCATGTACATGTATATTGTACTTGTAAGTTTAAGTGGGGGGAAAAAATCACCTTTTCATATTACTACGTTAACCTGGAAAGTAATAGAGTGTGATGAAGTTGTGTTGATTTTTTTTTTTCTTTCTTTTTTTCTTTTTTCTTTTTCTTTTTTTTTTTTGGTGTTGTTGTTTATGGCATAGGAGAAACCTGCCATGACCTTGACTCCTCCTGGCCGAGGTTATGACATGGATTCAGCTTGTGTGTTTCAATGTTTTCAGCCAGAATTAACTGAATGTTATTTCCTCAAAGTCGCCCAGGTCAACAATAAAGGGGCAACAACTTCCTCTGTGTTCATCTCTGTGGATATTTAGTTGATCCACTCTAGACACCACTATAGCAGAAATCTAGACCACAGTGATGTCACTTAAGTAGTCACGGTGAATGTTGGGGAGGTAGCTCTGTGGATAAAGTGCCCATGTAAAAACCAGGCCAGCCTGTCGGCTTGTCTGCAAACCCAGCACTTGGAAAGCAAAGGTAAGGGATCTCCAGAGCAAGCTGACTACACTAGCCAGAATTCATGAAGTCTGAGCTCAGCGAGAGAGAGGCCCTCCCTCAGTATCCGGGAAGACTGCTGTCAACCTCAGGCCTCCACCTGAAGAACACATATGCACCACGCACTTGTGAATACAATTGTGCACATGCACATCACACATCTCTGTGTAGTGTTACAGAGCTCCAGCCCAAGAACAGAGGGCATCAGACTGAAGGCACTGACGAGGATCAGACACCAGTGTTCAAGTAGCTTGATCTCCAAGTCACACAACAGTACAGAGTAACAAGTTTCAATGGAAAGCGTAGGAGAGTCTTCCTTCTCACTCTGGATAATCGAGTATGTGGCTTAAGCTAGTGAAGAAACTATTCTTGAAGATAAAAAGGACCCATCTTTTCAGCTACGCAGGGTTTGTCTTACAAAGGCTTGAAGATGGCTGTTAACATGCATGGTTGCTCTCCTGCCTGAGCAGGTGAGGCTTCAAGCGTCGTCCTCGTTTGACCAGCCAATCCACTGGTGAGCAGTGTGCTGTCTTCTCTACAGCACTTACTGACTTCAGGCACAGCCCCTTGGCTTCTCAGCTTTTTTATTTTAATCGTGTGAATGTTGTAGGTGTTCATATGCAGTGTGTGGTCACGTGGAGGCCAGAGGTCACTGCTGCGTCTCTCACCGATTTGGCTACACTGACAAAGGAGCTCTGGGGATCCTCCTGTCTTCCCCCAACCCCCATCGCTAGGTTCCAGATGCACCCAGCTTTTATAGAGGCTGGGGGACCCCAGCTCCAATTCTCATACAAACAAAGCAGGCACTTTGCCCACTAAGCCATGCCCCCAACCTGTTTCTCAGCCTTTTAAGTCAAGGAGATTGGACTAACTGGCCTTTCCAGGGCTTGTCTCCAAATTTTAGACCAGCATAAACCTTGTGGCCGTCTAGGCAGGGGGAACAGCTGCCAGCGGAAGACTTGTCAGCTTCCTGCAGTGATGTCTTCAGTTTGCTTAGCATTTCCAGTGTGAGGAGCCATTTAGATGGTGACTTCCATCTGACAGAAGGCCATGTGTACACCTCATAATTGTGATGTAACTTACAAAATAGACTTTTAATTGTGGCATTGTTTGATACGGGTTATTTGGTAAATGGTGAATGCTACCAAATAGGTGGAAGTGTTTGATTTTTGCATCCATTAAGGTGACATTTGCTTTAAGGCAAACATTGAGCAAGGTCCCCAGTTAATAGCATAAGTGGTGTAGGCTCTCTTTGCATTCTGCTACTTGTCAAGATTTATTTATTGGAGACAAAGTCTAACTGTGTAGCTCAGCTTCACATGCCAGAGTTGCTGACCTAAGCTACAAACTGTTAAGCTCTCCCTAACAGGCAGAGCCGCTTTTCAGCTTTGTAAAAAGATATTATTGTGCAAAATGGCATATAAGTTTTTTGTCCCCAAAATTTGAAGGTCAAATTTTTAGCTATCCAGGAAGGAAAAGCAATTTAAAAAGTTACCACCACGAATTTACTTTTTGCTATAAGACTATTCCAACATCTATGGTACTGAAGTGTTCTTCCACTGAAGAACAGTGTTGGTAGTAGTATCAGTTCCTTTAAGTATTTTTCTTGACAAGAAGGTGGCAGCCATATATTTAACTATATTCAACTGCGCTGTGAAGTCACAAAGTCGAAGATGCACCAAGCCAAGGTCCTATCTAAAGTCCTAGAATGTGTTTGTTACCAAGATGTCAGTGCACTTTGATGCGTAACTAAACTTTCAAATCTGTTAGTGAGCTCAGCCCTTCGGGATCATGGGAAGTTAGTAATTGCCTTGACTGCTCTAGAATTCTGCTCGGTTTACCACCCTGCATGCAAACCAAGGGCAGGGATGTATGACTTTAGGTGTCGACCATACCATTTTGAAGGAAGACTTCCAAAAGGGCTTAAGAAGTCTGGGCTGGGAGTCAGCTCAGCAATTTAGTCCAAACCTCACATGTACAAGGGCCAGGGTTCAATCATGAGCACCACAGTTTGTCTTAAAGTTCCATAGAGGGATTACACACATGAATCCATTTGCTGAAATCACCAGGACTGCTGTAGAACACCAAGATGAGTGAGATTTTCCATCAGTCAGTAGGACTGCCAGTTAGAGGTGTTGCTGTAGTGTTATCTCTTTTTTTGTTTTTTCTACACAGGATTTCTCTGAATAGCCAAGGCTGTCCTGGACTCACTTTGTAGACCAGGCTGGCCTTGAACTCACAGAGATCCGCCTGTGTCTGCCTCCCGAGTGCTGCAATTATAGGCATGCACCACCGTGCCCAGGGTAGTGCTACCTCTTACTGTATCTTGAATTAGTTACTTTTTCCTTGCTGTGACAAAAATACCCAAGAATAACTGAACGAAGGGGTACAGTCCACCGTGGCAGAGAGATCAGGCAGCTGGACATGTTGTAGCCACAGTCAGGAAGCAGCAGGTGGGTGCTCGCTCTTTTCATCAGGGACCCCAGGCCATGGGATGGTCCCGCCACCCTTTGAGCAGATCTTTTCATCAGTCGAGTCTAGAAACCCCATCACTGGCAGATCAGGGGTGTGCCCGTCGGGCAGTTCTCAGTCCTGTCAATTTGACAGTCATTAACCACCACATCCCTGGACAAGGAAAAAGCCATTCGCATCAACCCTATGCTAGGAGAATGCCAGGCCAGCCTCGCGTCAGGAACATATGCCTCCTCGTGGATAGCTCCTGTGTCTCTGGCAACAGAGTAGTCCTGCTACCAACCCATCTCAACAGAAGGACAAGAATTGATTTTTACCCAGGCCTCAGCTGAATGTACAGAGTTGTGTAATTTCCCAACTTATCATTTATGACTCCTGTGTTTGAATGGGGTGGGGGGCATGAGGTCAGAAGAATCGGTTCTCTCCGTCCACCTTTATTTAGCTCTGGGGGTCTAACACAAGGTTACAATTTGGCATCAGCAAGGACGTCACCTGCTGTGCCATCTCATGGGCCCCCAGTTTTATTTTTCATTGAGACTAATCTTTAGCATTGCCTGTCTGCTTATGACTCGGGATAAGTTGTATTTTCTGCTGCACCCATCACAAACCTCAATTCCCTCTACTGGGCTAGGCAGCGGCTAAAAACATGGAAGGTGCTTCTAGCATCCATTAAACTTAGAAAGTCTGACAATTACAGTAAAATACAATCTCGTATTCCATCCGTCTCTGCAGAGCAACCCTTTTCTTCTTGGGTTTATATGGGTTTTCTTTTGTGTAGCTCTGTCTGTCCTGGAACTCACTCTGTAGATGAGGCTGCCCTTGAACTCAGAAGAAATCTCCCACTTCCTCTGCCCAGCTTTCCCTGCCCCTAACCCACCCCTGGTTGTTCTCTTTTGTGTTTGTTGCTTGAGCCATCGTCTTTTTTTCGGTGTGTGTGTGTGTGTGTGTGTGTGTGTGTGTGTGTGTGTGTGTGGTTTGGTTTGGTTGTTTTGGTTTTTGTTTTGTTTTGTAGCCCTGGCCTTGAATTCCCAATCCTCCTGCCTCAGCTCTACACACCACCCTTCTCCCCAAGAATCCTCATTCTTCAGTTTTTAATAACACAATCCAGCTACATGTTCAACTCCTTATTGTGATTTTAAATTTCTCAGCCGACATCTTTCCAGTGCCATACTGAACTTCTGAAAAAGTTCCTTTTTCACCCTTCCAATTTAAGCCAACCTCCTCAGAACCCTGCAAATGAGATGATTTGCCCATGTGGCTTCAGTCTTGACTCAGAGTGCCATCTAGTGCACAGCCTTGGTACTGACAACACCGAACCCCAGATTACATACAGCTCATCTGCTTGGGTGCTGAAGTCCCTGACCTTGTGTCCTCCTTAACGTGGGGTCACTTTTAACAGCTGGTGTTTGTCACTTCCCTGTAGCTTAGAACTCACCTGGCAGTGTTCGAAATCCCTGAGGGAAACGTTTTTAAATTTTTGTACTTAATTTTAGTGCCTAGAGCTGCAGTGTTCAGTGAATACTGTTTCAAGTTAACACCTGAAATAGAATGTAACTTTAAAGTAATTACCCAGAAGCCAACATCCCTGCCTTCTTCTCCTCTCCAAATCTGAAAATCCATTTTGGGGTGTGTGTGTGTGTGTGTGTGTGTGTGTGTGTATCTGTAGTTTGGTTTGCTTTTTGGTTTTTACTTGTTTGTTTTCCCTATTCTGGCATGCTACCTCTGTTATGCTAAACTTGGGTTTGGTTTTTTTTTTTTCTCTCTCTCTCTCAAACCATGCAAACATGCAGAATAACCTGCCCTGACGGGTTTGCCTCTAAAGTATCCAGTTAACACTAAAGATGTAGCTCAGCTGGCATTAAAACCAACCAGTAAACTAACATTCCAGTGCAGGTGACCATTTGAGGGTGCAGCCAGGTGGCCAGGTGATCACATAATGTGCTAGAAACACTTGCAAAAGTAAAAGTCACACAGCTCTGTCCAGGCTGTCCTGAGCCAGAATGCTCAGGGTGAAGTGCATACCCTTTGGTTCAGCAGCATTCTTGATACAGCCCGTCACCCCATGACAAGGTCACCTTGTCCCCACCCCCTCCTATAAAAAGCTATTTGAGGACAGAAGAGATAGCTCAGAGGTTGAGAGTACGCAGTTCGTGCTCTCACAGAGGACTGGGTTTGGGTTCCCAGCGTCCACATAGGGTGGCTCACAACCACCTGTATCTCCAGCTCCAGGGGACTTGACACTTCTAGGCTCCAAGGACACCTGCACACGTTTATGGACCCATATCCAGACAGAAAGGCAGTGCATAACAATTTTTTAAA